ACAGTTTTGTAGCATTGTTCACGTGTATATTGGAACATTTCTAAATCGATTTACGACAAATTCATCATCGATTTGCTCACATTATTCTGACTTTTTTTTTCTTTTCTCGTTCCCATTTCGTCATTAGTAGTAGACTGAAGAATATAGTTTTATATGATATTTCACACATACACACACGCACGCACATACACACATATACACGTGATTTATAAATGTATTTATAAGCGCGCAAATATATTATGCACGAGATCTCTCGGTGACTATTATGCAGCCTACAGGAACATAAAACTTGATCGTTAAAATTTATTATTCTTGTTAACGCGGTTATCTACATGACAATCGGTTATCAATAAATTTGCAGAATTTCGAAGAGCTTTAATGTTAAGCTATTACATATTTTATATATATTTCATTTCATCTTATTTACAAAAGAATTGTTTGTAGATTCTTCTCTAATAGAATATGTTTTCTGTTTTCTTTTTTAAATGGGGATTGTCGATAGTTTTCTTGTACCCTTATCCCGTTCGAGGACGTACCGGACATATATATAAATTTGCCTCGAGAACACGAAATAGAAAACGTTTCTATGTATTTTTTTCCTTCTTTTTCTTTCTTTTTTTTTTTTTTAATATTACACAGGTACCCGCAAGAATAATTCTCTCATTCCGATAAAATGAGATAGAAAGATTAGACGCCCGCCACATACAACATGATCGATAAATAAATAGAGTGTCGACTTCGTGTTGTTGGTAAGGCGTAAAGAACGATCGAAAAATATTATGCTACGGAGTAACACGTGTCTTACGAACATTTTCAAATCGCATCGAAAAGACATTCGTAAATCTCGAAAAATAACTCGTGCTGCATTAGATTTAGCAAATGCATCACATATACATATTATATAGATATTGATTATCTCCGGTGAATTACGTTAGATAATCTTGAAGATTATCTAAGGAAATTCAAGCACCAAGCTAATCGAAACAGCAGCAGTAATACTTAAGAATATAGTTGTC